CGCTCCTTGGAAACTCTATAGGGCAGTTCCACTCTGTCCTATAGGGTTGCTATAAGTCGGAATCAACTTGATGGCAATGGGTTTTTTTTTTTTAAATACATGAAGTGGTATAATATCACTTAAAGTTAGACTGTGATAAGTTACAGATGTATAACTCATGGGTCAAAGAAGAAATCAAAAAGGGAAACTAGAAAGCATTTTCACTGAATGAAAATGGAAACACAACATACTAAAATTAAAGCAGTTCTTAGGGGGAAATTTTATAGCATTAAAAGCCTGCATTAGAAAATAAGACAAGTCTCAAATCAATGACTCCAATTTTCACCTTAAGAAATTAGGAGAAGAGCAAATAAGACACAAAGTAAGTAGAAGAAAAGAAAGTCAGAGTGGAAATCAATGAAATAGAGAACAGAAAAATAGAGAAAATCAGTAAAACCAAAATCTGTTTTTTTGAGAAGATCAAAAACATTGATAAGCCTACAACCAGACTGATCAGGAAAAAGAAAAAACACTAATTATCAGTATCAGGAGTGAGACAGAGGATATCACTAGAGATCGTATAGATGTTAAAGAGCTAATAAGGGAATATTATTAACTTTATGTCAACAAATTTGTCAACTTAGGTAAAATAGTCAAATTCTTTGAAAGATACAAACTACCAAATCTGACTCAAGAAGAAAAATAACCTAAATAGTCCTTTACCTATTAAGAGAATTGTAGTTGAAATTGTGGTTAAAAACCTCCTCCAAAAAAGAAAACTTCAGGCCTAGATGGGTTCACTAGTAAATTCTACCACATGTTTAAAAAATAAAAAATACCAGTTCTACACAAACTTGCAGAAAAAACTGAAGAGGAAGGAATACTTCCCAACTCATTCTATTAGGCTGGGATTATCCTGATACAAAAATCAGATAATTACAAGGAAAAAACTATAGACCAACATCCATCATGAACATAGATGCAAAAATTCTCAACAAAATTTTAGCAAATAAAATCCAATAAAGAGAAAGATAATACATTAGGACCAAGCTAGGTTTATCCTCCCAGGAATGCAAGGTTGTTTTATATTAAAAATCAATCAATATAATTCACATTAACAAACTAAAACAGAAAAAAAATACGATCATCTCAATAAACACTGGTTTAAAAAATTCAGTATTCATTCTATAGAAAATCTCAGCAAAATAGGAATGAATGGGAATTTCTTCAACAAAAAAACCTGTAGATAACATTACAATGTTTTCTCTCACTACTTCTATTCAATAGTGTATTGGAAGATCTAGATGGTACAATTAAAAAAAACAAAAGAATTAAAAGCTATCAGATTAGAAAGTAGTAAAATTATCTTTATTCACAAATGACATGATCACCTACGTAGAAAATCTAATGGAATCTACAAAAAAAACTACTAGAAATAAGTGAGTTTAGAGAGGTTGCAAGATACAAGATCAATATACAAAAATCAATTGCATTTCCATATACAATGAGCAATTAGAAATGGAAGTAAAAACATAATTTACAATAGTATTAAATATGAAATACTTAGGGATAAATCTGACAATGTGAAAGACTTGTACATTGAAAACTATAAAACACTGTTGAAATTAAAGAAGACCTATAAATGGAGAGGTGTACCATATTCATGGTTGAAAGGCATAAAATTGCTAAGATCTCAATTCTCTTCAAATTGACCAACATAATCCCAATCAAAATTCCAGCCAGATTTTTGTATTAAAAAAAAAAAAAAATGGATTCTAAAACTCATACAGAAATGCAAAACACTTAGAATAGGAAAAACAAGTTTGAAAAATAACAAAGTTGGGGGATTCAAACTACCTGATTTCAAGACTTAATATAAAGCTACAGTGTTCAACAAAGTATTGGTATTAAAATCAACAAATAGTTCAATGGAACAAAATGGAGAAGACTAGACTCACCCATACATAGAAAACTGATTTTTGACAAAGGTGCAAAGGTAATTTAGTGGAGAAATGATAGTATTTTTCAACAAGTGGTGCTGGAACAATTGGATATCCATATACACAACAAATGAACTTCAATCCATACCTCACACCATATACAAAAATTAACTCAAAATGGACCACAGACTTAAATGTAAAACTAAAAATTATAAAACTTCCTTTTTGTTCCTGTTTTTCCCCGTTCCCCCACCCTCATTTGCTTGCAGGATTGCACAGTGGTTCAGACTACAAGGACTCTGAAGCAGGCTTGTTCAAATTCCATGCTCGCTGCATTCACCATTGTATTTAATATCTCTATGCTTTCGTTTCCCTGTCTGTAAATGGGATAATAACAAAAATTAATAACAAAGATTTCTTCCGCATTGGGTATTTGTAAGGATTAAATGAGTTAATATAAATGCTTAGAGTGAGTGTAAGTGTTAGACTATTATTCCCAGAGCCCCAACATTATGTCAGGCACAAAGGAGTCCAACAAGTTAAATGTATCAAAAAAAACCAAAAAAAAAAAAAAAAAACCCTGGGCTCAAAGAAGAGTGGAGAAGACATGAGATCCCAAGACTTGGAACACAGTTTTGGCTTGGCCAGTGAGTAGTTCTCTGACCCTGACCATGCTACCTATGCACTGGAGTTTAGAGTGTTTATTTGTAAAATGAGAAGTTTGGTTTAGAAGATTTTCCTTATAGTCTCATTCTGCTTTTGACACTGCTTTTCGTAATCCAAAAGTATACAATTATTATCAAATAAAAAGTTTGTTGACAACTTTTAGGCTCAATTGAGAGAGAGCATGGGTTTTCATGTTACAATGAAGGCCATTTGCTATTTAGTAAGAAAGATAACATTGCCATTACACGCAAGTCACAGTTGTTAAAATTTTAGTGGAACATTAAGTTACCTCTTTAATGTTGTATGAGAAGTTTTAACATGAATTTTGATTCTTAGCTTCTGAAATTGAACACAATCAAAGTTCTGGACTGGAACACTCCCCTTCCAAGGTTGTGCTGGAAGTCTCTTGAGAGGTTAGGAGTGTGTGTGTCTGAGTCAAGTTCCACTGCACTTTAGGAGTAGAAGAGCCGGGGGAAAAAGAAAGTCCTTCGTACTTACTGTCTGTGAGGTGAGGTGTACCACTAGCTTGACCTTAGTGACCCAGCAGGAGAAATCCTCATTTCAGGAACACTTTGCAGCCATTCTTTCTTGAATCACGTCACGCAGCATGAGTGATGACTGAAGTAACCATAGAAAGCTACAGTCCATGTGGCTAACTTTGTGTGAAATTCACTGGAATTTTACATATAGTGCTGTCATGTAAAAAGAAAACATCCAATTTTTAAAAGTCCGGGAGATTTAATGTACAAACTATCTTTAGTTGGTCTCATCACACATAGCTTCTTTGATTATGTGACTTGGTGATGACTAGAGGTATGACTAGGTGTGACTTTGGACAGGAGCACATATTAAGGCTTCAATGCTAACTTGAAGGAGATACAGTATTACCCTGCTGGGGTAGGGGTTCCCTCTGTTAACACCCTCTTAGAGCAACTGCCAAATTTGTCAGAAATGCCTAAAAGTTATTCAAATAACTTTTAGGAGTGTTACATTTCTATTAGTTAAGTCTTTATCCAGAAACTGCTACACTAATCACCCATTTAAAGTATACCAACTTGTCCACTTGAAAACACGTTGACTCAGGGACCAAATAGAAATTTTGCTAAAACAAATGAAAATTGATTAGCTCTTATGTCACATGCCAATCATGAGTGCAAAATCTCACCATTACTCACCAAGAGCATGTTCCTCATAATTCCTAGAGGCAGTTTTTGTATTACTCTCTGCTGGCATGAGTTGCTCCCACAATGCCTACAACATGGTTAGGTGTGGTATTTAACATGGTTGATGCTATGTCATTTGCTGGTAGCTGGAATCACCTCACATTGGAATGTCTCAACTTGCACATTCTTTAGATGTCCATATCCCTGTGGACATAGTGTCTTTGTGATGGGACCTGCAAGACTCTTGCCAGTAGTTTCAGTGTTAGAATAGTTATCAGAGGAAAGTAGGCAAGCACCAGTTGGACTTATCCAAATGTCTCGATAGAGTATCATAAAAGATCAGACACGGAAAACAGCCCAATTTGATAAACTGGTGTCACTAGGTCAGAGCTTGAAATTTTGATTGTGTCAAAATGTGTGTGTATTTGGAATGGCAAACAGGAGATTCAAATTTTAACCTGATTTCAGGATGAGGCTGGTTAAAGGGTAGCTAGATATGGGATTACTGCCAGCTAAGTTCTAGCCCCCCCAGATTTCATATCTTAGTTTTTGGATATTAATAAAAATTGGGAAATTCAGGAAATAAAACACAGCTACACAGAAATATGAACTACAACCATTTCAGTGTGCTTCAAAGTAGATGCTTTTCTGTGTATCTTTTCATATAGTTGAGAACATAATGTATTAGCAATTTTGTCTTGTACAGCACTTAAGATGCTCTGTGCATTTCCTTACATCATTTTTGGAAATATTTTAATGTCAAAATAATATTCTATTCTAGTTATATTCTAATATGCTTAGCTGCTTTCTTATTGTTGGACATAGTGTTTTGCTGTAATAAATAATAGTGTTATGAACATTGTGTATAAATCATAGTACCTTTTCTCTTTAGGATTATTTCCATGAAATAGCACTATAAGATTAAAGACTTAGGACATTTTTAAGATTCTGTATACATTTTCCTAAATGTTTGTGCCAAAACACCCTCCTGCCAGCAGTGTATGAGAATCATTGCCAGCATTGAATGTTTCCTGAAAGAAAAAAAAATCCTTGCTAATTTGATGGTAAAACAGTATCTTATTGTAATTTTACCCGTATTTTTCAGATTACTAGCTTCAATATTTTCTTTTGTTTTTCCTCTTCTATGAACTTATTCATATCCTTCACCCATTTTTTCCATGTTTCATTTGCTTTAACAAAATTGTTTGTAAAGTCTCCATGAAAGCAAAAATAAAAAACTCACTAAAGTTTATTTTATTGGACTAATTTAAATATTTTATTTGAAGAAATATTCTGAAGACTATAGCTTATTGATAGGAAAAATATAAAGCATACACATTAATAGATCATTTTGACCTGACATTATAGTAAATAGATTCTCCAAGTAACATGATTAATTCTGGAGCGCTACTAGCAGAATACCTTCTTCAGAAATATTGTTTTACCTTCAAATCTGAGTAAATTACCCTTACATGAAAATGAAAAAGGATAATAAAAACACAAATTTGATTAGCCTAAATTTTAGTAGATCACATCTGATTTGCTGGAGAGTAAGCTCTTTTATTTATCTCTTCAAGGAAGTGATCATTCTCTCTACCTCTTTCTGTGCTTCTTTATCCTATAAAGAAAAGACAAGTATGCAATTACATAATGAAATCTCACACATTCATCCTAATATTCTCAGTACTTTGAAACAGATTTCTGTTAAGTGAGGGCATATTTTTTGAAAGACCATTACAAAGAAACCTTGGATTTCTAAGGACCAGGCATGATCCAGATCTATGAGAATGTGTAGAGCGCTATTTTGGGTGCTTTTTCTCCACCAGGTTAGGAGCCGTGGGATACAGGAAAGAAAAAGCCTTCCTTGTAAGCTGACATACTGGATCCTACCAGTGTGTTAAGAATTTCTTTTTTGACTATGGGATGTGAAGAAGCCCTAGCCCTAGCAGTAAGATTTGAAGAAAACTGAGATTCCACTGAAAGAGCAGAAAAACCCAAATTTCATTATTAACTTTATCAGGGAGCTTATATTTAAGATTAAAAATCATGTAATATATTTTATAGAATGTCATGCATTGTTATTTCTTTAAAACAAGTGTGGAAGTTAGAAAAATTGGCAATAAATTCATATGGTAGGGCACTCTTAATGCCTTTTTGCATTTAAGAAACGTTTACTTTGCACCTACCAAAAAGAATTTGAGGAACGTAATAAATTTAAAATAAACAGATGAGGAAAAATGGGACAAGGTAGATATTTAGAAGTAGCTGTTTGTTAATGTCTTTTTTTTAATTGAAAGTTCTCCAGTAGGTTTTTGTTTTTTATTTTTTAGCTTCATGTTACTTTATTCTACAGTTTTTTTTTATTGTAGTGAAACCATAGTTTTAACCATAAACATTAACACACTGATTATATTGTCATATCTGATAAACTAAATGTTTACTTTCTATCAAATCAATATTTACCAAAGCTTATGAGAAAATAAAATCAATATCTGGAATATTAGTGTGTCATTTACAAGAACTTATAAAAATCTATAATTTTAGGTATTGAGATTCATGTTTACCTTTGTAACTCCAGGACTAGCTCAGTGCCTGGTACTTAGAAGACCCTTAAGAAATGCCTGCTAAGTAAGATGCTGGAACTCACTAGCCATTTTCCATATCTAAGAATCAATTTCTTACAGAAGAATGACATACATGAGAAAGTTGTTTTAATTAGGTGCCTGAAGAAATGAATATTCACAAACTATAGTGAAAGATTTAAAATTAAGATCGTGGCTCAGCAATAATTGCACCCATGCATCACAAAGCCAAATGCCCCAGTCCTCTGCCCCAATCCTGACTCCCAACACACACACACACCTCCCATCTTTATCTCCATCCCAGGGCTTCCACTCGTCTTATATTTTTTATGAATATAAGAGGCTGACAGGGCTTTTTACCTAAAAAAGCCAGCTAAAACCACCACCTCCCAGCCATGTTTTCTTCAGTCACTGTCCACAATGGACATCCTTCAGGCCTTTAATCCTCTTTGATGTATTCACCCCAGTATTGCTCTTCTATGCTTTCTCTCTCCTGATTCAATCTCTCATTCCTCTCCTTTTCCTCTGACATTTTCACAGTGCTCCCTGGAACTCCTACTAGGGGACTTATTTTGAAGTCATTTTTGTATAACCAGCAATGTATTTGCTAACAGAGTATGTTTTAGGGGATGGAAGAGAGGCTGAAAGATATTATTAGAGGGAGGTTAGAGCCAATAATAATTGCCCTCTACCATGAAGCCCTGGTGGTGTAGTGGGTAAGAGCTCAAGCTGCTAACCAAAAGGTCAGCAGTTCAGATCCACCAGCTGTTCCTTGCAAACCCTATGGGGCAGTTCTACTCTGTCATATGTGGTTGCTATGAGTTGGAATTGACTCGATGGCACACAACAGTAACACCACTTTTAATACTTTAACAGACTGTTGGTCACTTTCTTTTGTACTTTTACTTTGTTTTTTATGACCTTTTACCTGGGTCACTCTCTCCATACCAACTTCTGCCATCACTGTTGGCGACTCCAGCATCCCCAGGGACTATGTATCCAATACCCTGGCCTTTTAGAAGTTGGCCTCCTCATCTCTTTCCTTCCCCATCATTCCATGAGCACACCCTGGGTTATGCCATGACCTAAAACTATTCTTCCCCTGAAGTAGGCATCCTGTTCTCTGAACAAGGAGCCAGGTGGTGCAATAGTTAAAGCGCTTGGCTGCTAATCAAAAGAACTACCTATTTTTTGGGGTCATTTATCTAATTATCTTCAGTAATTATACCAATTTTTCAACTTCAACAGGTTCCTTAAGCAATTTTTCCTTATTTTCTCTATCAGCCTTCTGTTTTGACTTACTTTCTGCCTACCTTAGATTCCAACATTCACTCTCTTAACAAAAGCCTAAACCCTGTTCTCCTTTCTCCCTCTTTGGCACTCATCTTAGGTCACTACAAGTCTACAAACCCATCTGCTTCTCTTCCTACTTGTGACAAAATAAGAGGCCCCTAATGTGCTCTGGGTCCCATTCTCTGGTTTTCTCAGGATCTTATTCAACCAATTATTCCTCTCTCTCTACAGCCTTTCTTCAATCTTTCTTTTTTTGTGGCCCTTTCTCATTATCATTTAATTATGCTCCTGTATTTCTCATCTCAAATACACTATTCCTCAACTGAAGCATCCCCCTAACTTCCACTTTACATCTCTCCTCCCTCCCCCATCAAAGCCTTTGGAAGAGCATCTACATAGTGACTGCATTTTCTCACCACTGGTCACTCTGCACTCTGGTCTCTATCGCTCCACTGAAACAGTCCAGGTTAAGGTCATCAATGATGTACACATCACCACACTTAACAGATTCATATCAGTCCTTTGCTTTCTTGACTTCCTGATAGTATCTGACAGATTGGACCACTTCCACATTCCTTGCCTTCTGAGGCAACATCTGCTCTGGTCACTTCTTTTCAGTCTCGATCACAGATTCCTCTTCCTCCACCCATCTAGTTATGTTGATATGTCTCAGGGGTTGATCCTCAGCCCTCTGCTTTCCACATTCTATATAACATCTATGAGCGATGTCTTCCATACTTGTGGCTTCAGACATCATATTTATGCTGCACAGCCAATCATTTACGGGATTTGAAAATCTCACAAGCACAAACTCAACATGTCCAACACTGAACTCACCTTCTCCACTAAACCTGATTCTCCAATATTCGCTATGTCAGTAAGGGGCACCTCATCTACCTGGTTCAGTTTCCCAATACAGGAACCTAGAAGTCATCATTGAATCTTCCTTCTCCTTCAATACGCAATCTCCAAGTCTTGTAGAGAATACGACCTACCAATCTGTTAAATATGTCTCCTCCTCTTCATCCTCAGGGCCATCACCTTATCCAGGCCAGCATCTCAGGTCTGCACTATTGAAGTAGTCACCTAAATGGTACCCCTGCTTCTAGTTTTGCTCCCTTCCAATTCAAGACAGTCACCACACGGTAGCTCTTGCGCTCTTCCAAAAAATCTTACCACATTACCTGTTAAAGACTTAAACCACTGGATTTAAATCCTAATTTCCTTGGAATCTCAGATCACATATCACCAGTTTGCCTTTCTTAGCCCCTGGCCCAGGTGGTCCCCGGTGTTATTTTCTCATAAATCCCTGTGCTTCCATTTCCATAACACTCATCATATTTATTGCAATTACTTGTTCAGTATCTGCCTTTCCTGGTAGATAACAGGATTCATGGTGGCAAAGATGGTGTCTGCCTTTTCTCGTTGTTTCCCAAGCCTTAAACAGGGAACCCAATATAAATGAATAATCTCTTTTACACACACACACATACACATTCAAACATACAGATTTATTTGATCTGAAAGTTGTTAGGAAAATACATGTTTTTGGACAATACGTCAATGTTCTCTGCTAAAGACTCTGGATAAATATGATACTTATGTTAAATTGTTATTATACTCCTAGCATTTGTGAAATGGTTATACAACATCAACTTTATTAGACTGGGTACTGGTTAAGAATGACTGATCCCAAACTGATGCTACGTCATCAGTTATTTTAAGAAAATTAATTAAAAGAATATCTAAGAAACTTCTTTAAGGTGTTCTTAAAACCAACCAAAAGAATATAGCCAAAGCCATTATATACTGGGAAATCTTAAGAAGGAATACATTGTGAATGCAAATGAAAAGAAAGTAAGAGCTGTAAGAGTAGAAGTAGCAAGTTATAAGCAGAGTTCATGAAAATGTCTCTTCAGAGAGTGGGAAAAGTCTGTCCATCCTATAACGGCCTTATAAATTTTTAAGCAAACAAGGAAGAATAAATTCTCCAGACATGGGTAGCACAGGTGAGTTCATCTACAAGAAATAAGTTGAAACCAGAAAGAAACAGGCAGATAAGAATTTCTAACAAATAAGACCCTGGACTGGTCAGCAGTTCGAATCCACAGCCACTCCCTGGAAACCCTGTGGGGCAGTTCTAATCTGTCCTATAGAGTCACTATGAGTTGGAATCGACTTGATGGCAATGGGTTTGGTTTTTTGGTTGATACACTGTATTTACTGCCCGGTAACAGTTTATTTGTCTTTAGACGGGTGATGAGTATCACCTTAAAGTATCACGACAATTTTAAAATGTAGTTTTTACCAGAGTAGTACACCCTCATTGTAAAGGTAAATGTTACATAATGCTTTTTTAATGTAAGCTTTCTCAGTACACTCCAAGTCAATGAGCTTTAATACTGCCTCCAGGTAAATAACTTTCAGGTTGATGATGAAGTCCTGCTTTCATTCAGCAATCCTTCTCACACTTCCTTAGACACAGCAATCCCTTTTATTGTGATGAAGGAATGTTTCTCAGGACCTAAGACTACCTTCCTAGGGTCAAGAAAAGTCCACACGAATAATAAAAATATGGCACTTTCAAATTCAGGTAAAGAAAATCTGCTTACATGTATGGATCTAGAGCCCAAATGGCTGATATTCCCAATTCGAGCAGCAGCGTAACGAGCTTAGAGTTCCCTGAGAGGGGATGAAGACATGTCACAAATGACTACCAAACAAGGAAGAAGTTACAAATGCC